AGACATAGCGAACAACTCTGTATGATAAAAGCCGGGGTTCGGCGACTTACCGCAAACGCTTCTTACATCGCTACGGGTACCGAGGGCTAGGCTTCAGAACGGGGCTCGTCAACGCTTTTGGGAAACTATTGCCGGCAATATATCGCACATAGGAGTCCACAGGTCAGAAGGTTCACGATATCTTCCAGAGAAAATGGTTACTCTCACTTGATGTAACGGAAAATTATTTTAGAGCTGTTGATAGCTTCTCACACGTCGGGGACTCGAAGTGAACTACTCGCTCATTGGTGCTGGCGTCAGCCGTAAAGTCGTACCAACACAAAAGGCACAGTGGTAGGCTCAGAACGAAAATACGGTTTGTCACCTACCCCATACATAAATTAAAAAAAGAAATACAAGCTTCCAATATGTGTTGTCTTATTAAAAAATCTGTTACGCTACGGAACAAACTTAGTTATTCAAAAAAAAAAAAAAACACCACCTCACAGAAAACCACAGTAAAATAACACTACTTTAAGGTGGTATTGTGTTTCTGTCAGTGAGTAAGGATCCAAGGCTCCACGGGGTAGGTATGTAAATTTATTAACTTGCCCGATAAGTATAAAAAAGTTAAAGACCTATCTTAAAGCCACAGAGCCTGTAAAGTGTCTGAAACGCCAAGGACATTGGTAAAAACTAATAGACAAAACACTTTTACTAAAGAAAAAATTTACTAGAAAAAAATCCACGTGGACCGTGGGCAGCAGACAAGACTCGAACCCGCACACTCTGCTATCTGGGCGAATGCATTGACCATTATGCTACTGCGCCCCTGAGGGCCATGTCAAATTTTGTCTAGCCTTTCTTAATCTACAAGGCAGCGCCATCTCTTCGCATTGTAGGTAACCCACAATTTCAAAGTATACATTTACAATTATTAAACATTTGAAAGAAGAAATAGCAATTATATAAAATAAAAAAATAAAACACTTCCTGTTAAAAATATTTTATTAAATTTCAATTGCTATCATTTGCGATGGCAAATGATAGCAATTGAATTTTTATTAGTGATGACTAATAAAGAGACCATCCAAGCTAGGCTTCACGTGTGCGGGCCGTGGCGTCTTCGGTACTGTTCCGCAGAAGTCATTCTTATCTACGTCACACTTCTCGCTGCTTACTTCTAGAACGAACTCTGTAGTGGTTGGGTCTGCTAAGCGACGGCGACCATCCTTTGCTGCGGTCACCATAACAACCGCAGCACAAAGCACTACCAACATCTGTGAAGACCGCATTCTGGAAAAGTTTTTGCATTAGAATATCCTTTTATTCTAACACTCGCACTATTCAGTGAAGACAAACTCACTTTTTACAGCCGAATTCGCCGATGTGATTTGTAATTTATAAGTTTAAATTACACCGCGGATTCCGAGGTGAAAAGTGAGTTTGTTCTTAGAACCAGCTTTCAAAATTGTATTTTTAAATTTAGCCCAAACAATACGTCAATCCCTTCATTGGTCACTTGCGAGACTGGTCCGTTGTGATTGGCGTCTCGCGGTTTCCCTCTACTCCTTCGTTTAAGATCGAAGTCCCATCTGTGATACTCCTGGTGTTGCAGATGTCGTCCAGCCCGATTTTGATCAAAAAATCCTGTGGTTTTGACCGTTCATCTCGGAAACGCGCGGAGGTATTGAGTTAAAATTTAAAACATTTTGTTTCAAGTCTACGGTAGTTTATATGGTAATCCTATCTAGGGGCGACGGTGATCACGTACCATCAGGTGAGCCATCTGCTCGTATGCCCCTATAATTGAAAAATATACGTGTGGCACTCGGGGACTGCCGCGGGAAAGCTATTGCGTAGCATTTTTTATCAACTTATGCAATTATAATTATTTATTTATATATGCAGTATTTTTTTCTTTGATATTAATACAAGTTATACTTTTTGAGCGTGGTGATCGATAAGAAATTTTTTTTTTTCTTTTATTGAATAAATGAGAAGTTAATATTGTTTTAAAAAATATTATTATATATTATATTATATATTTATTATATATGTAGGTTATTCAGGAATTTTCATAATTGTAACTATAGGTTTATGGTAACTGAAATAAGAAACATAGATGATAGATACACCTATATACTATCTCACAAACAGCTGCTTACGTATTCGTCCGATTTCGGAGCAGCTCGTTTCGATCCGTGCGAGCTTCGTACAGTAGTACCACATGTACGTTAAGGTTCAACTAGTCGCGGGCTCGAACTCACTCGCGGACGCGGCCAAAAAGCATGCTGTCTCACCTAGCATTGTGTCTAAAAGAGATAGAATCAGTTATGAGCAGTTAGCAGCTAGTCTACACGCATACGTCTAGTAGCACGCACACAAACACCATGTCGAAGTCTGCCGAACTGAAACGACGTTAGACGATGCACGGCTTTCTACGCCGCACGGCTGTGCCGGTCGGAGTGGGGGGTGTTAGGTTTATTTTCGTTACAGAATTTCTTGATTCGGTTGCCGCGCTGAAAGCCCGCGATGAAAGCTATGCAATAGCTTAAAAAAATGACAAGAGCGACACTCGCATGACACTTACTAATAAATTCATTAAATATATATTTTTTTTAACTATTTATCATTATAGTTCCGTGCTTTAGGTGGGGAACCCTAATAACGACAACTATAGTATTTTATTGAACGGATCCACTTTTATTTACCTTACGCTATAACTATATTACTTAAGTTATAATAAACAAATGAAATTAGACCTTTGAATCGTCGCAACTTCTTGAGAATAAGTAATGATGATTTTAATATTTTCGCATCTCTTTTATTACTTTAGTTTGAGCGTTGCTAAATTCACCTAGTAATTAAGTACACCAAAGCATAATACAAAACTAATTAGTAACGTTGATTGTGTTTTCTTTTACAGCCAATATTTACAGATGGTAGGTACTTAAGAGCTCTTTCACATTTATTGCAAAAAACGTAAATTTTGAGGGCCTCGTTTACCCCCTTAGAAATTTTTTTGACTATTTCCAATAAATTACCATATTAGTAAACAGTAGAATTATTCTTCTTATTGTAAGTTAATGTAGAATATTTGCAAATACTATTTGCCTTTTTTTGTACTGATCGTTTTACTGCAGCTAATTTACGGAAAAAACGATAATGTGCACAACTTCAAACGCCTCAATCTCTCAATATTGTTCAATAAATTAGATCAAATTAATTACTACGACATCAAAAATATGTTTTTGTTGAAACATAATGTTTTGATTATGCATTTTCTGACTCCCAGAAAATAATGCAGGTTTACCTCGTATTTTGATATTGAATTAAATAGAATCACTATCAAAAACTTTCATAAAACACATCTAACATCATTAAACTACTGAAATATATTTATATTTTTTATAATTAGTTCATTAATAATTATTTTATAAGACTCGAAACATCACCCGTAAAATGCAATTTATACTAGTCCAAATCTAGGTAGATTTGGACTAGGCGTAGGTACGCGCCGATCAGTGCGCAATTTTGTAAAAAGGCTCTTAATAAGCCGCACAAAAAGTGACACAAATGAGTGCTCCAAGGTATAGATAATATTACCGTGTCCAAGGGGTAGACGATTGGGTCAGGGTAGGCAACGGCACGAATGCTATTTTTTATATCGCAAGCGTTTATATGATATGGTGGCACAAGCTTTTTGCTACCCTTTTAAAGCGCGTATTCCACCTGACTAAATTCAGGCGTTCTAAATCATTCAGTAACTAATTCAGTCAAGTAAAATATCATTTAGGAAGTTAGGATCCTTTCCCCTATCGGAGGAGGGTGGTGTGCTTTGCAATATGGCAGCAAACATTTTATGTAATAGTTTTTGTTAAATAATTTTAAGAAATTGTATGGTCAGGTTACGATGGGGCTGGTATGGACATTTTGGTCCAAAAGTCCCTAAAACAAATAAAAAAAAAAGCATTTAGGATCCTAATTAGCATCCTAAATCGGAAGAAGTGTGGCTAAGTTTTACTAAGTTTAACAAGCGATTTAGGAACGTGTGACAGGGTTTAGATGCTTTAGTCGCACCGCGCGCAGGCGTCACTGCGTGAGGACGTTATTGTGTCTACGAAGAAAACGAAGTTATGAGTAACATAATTGAATTGTATAAAGATATGCGATGATATACGATACGAAAGATACTTCTTTGGAACAAAAACGATAAAAATTACATTAATATTCTTTTACCCACGTTTTTAATTATTTACTTTCTTTCTTTGTTTTTATTGAGCCAACGGCCAGGCCTACGAAAAGAACGATTTTTGTTGCTTTGACAGGACTGGAGCCAGCCAAAAAGTCAGTCTGAATTCGCCGCGCGCTTGCAACTGACTGAATCAGTAACTAAATTAGTTAAGTGTAATCAGAAGCTTCTCTAATTAGCTTTTCTTTTTTGGATCCTAACTAGGACGTCTAAATTTAGTCAGGTGGAATACGCGCTTAACATAAAAATAAATGATGTGGATGATCTATTAAAATCCCATTTAGACCTACTTAAATAATTTCAATTTACGAACTTCAAATGAGTTTGAAGATATATTGTTCAGAAATTGCTTTACCATTTAAAAAAAATAGTAAATGGAGTCTCTTTGGTAGGTATCATGAAGTTATAGATATAGGTATAACTTCATGGTAGCTATCGAAATTAAGCTAGCATTTTCTAAGAAGGACGATTACACGTTTTCGATCTCTATATATTCATTATATCTCTATATATTATGTTATCTCTATCTTTAAAAAAATGTTATTTAGGCTGGTTTTACCTAAAACGAACTTTATCAGGCTTCAGCAACAAACCATAGACTGTAAACAAATGTTTTTCCAGTAATTTTTTTTCAAACCTCGCTTAACTAACTTAAAAAACAAAAATCATCTACCAAATACTGAAAATAAAATGTTTGAAAAACAGCTTAAAAATTTTCTAATAAATGTACTAATAATATTTCCAAATATTCTGACTGACTGTGACTATGACTATGACTATGACTGTGACTGTGACTGTGACTGTGACTGTGACTGTGACTGTGACTGTGACTGTGACTGTGACTGTGACTGTGACTGTGACTGTGACTGTGACTGTGACTGTGACTGTGACTGTGACTGTGACTGTGACTGTGACTGTGACTGTGACTGTGACTGTGACTGTGACTGTGACTGTGACTGTGACTGTGACTGTGACTGTGACTGTGACTGTGACTGTGACTGTGACTGTGACTGTGACTGTGACTGTGACTGTGACTGTGACTGTGACTGTGACTGTGACTGTGACTGTGACTGTGACTGTGACTGTGACTGTGACTGTGACTGTGACTGTGACTGTGACTGTGACTGTGACTGTGACTGTGACTGTGACTGTGACTGTGACTGTGACTGTGACTGTGACTGTGACTGTGACTGTGACTGTGACTGTGACTGTGACTGTGACTGTGACTGTGACTGTGACTGTGACTGTGACTGTGACTGTGACTGTGACTGTGACTGTGACTGTGACTGTGACTGTGACTGTGACTGTGACTGTGACTGTGACTGTGACTGTGACTGTGACTGTGACTGTGACTGTGACTGTGACTGTGACTGTGACTGTGACTGTGACTGTGACTGTGACTGTGACTGTGACTGTGACTGTGACTGTGACTGTGACTGTGACTGTGACTGTGACTGTGACTGTGACTGTGACTATGACTATGACTATGACTATGGCTATGGCTATGGCTATGGCTATGGCTATGGCTATCGCTATGGCTATGGCTATGGCTAAGGCTATGGCTATGGCTATGGCTAAGGCTAAGGCTATGGCTGTGGCTATGGCTATGGCTATGACTATGACTATGACTATGACTATGACTATGACTATGACTATGACTATGACTATGACTATGGCTATGGCTATGGCTATGGCTATGGCTATGGCTATGGCTATGACTATGACTATGACTATGACTATGATATATGTGTGGTCAAAATCTCTGTTTCTGGCCGCTGCAGTAACTGTGATACTATAGTATTTCAATACATGCAATTAATAAACAAATTGTCGTTTAATGTTGTTTTATTAAATTGTGATATTAATATATAGTGAAACAAAGATGCAGACTTACTTGCCGTTATATTAATTTTCTAGCAACTATTTGTATCAAAGAAACACTCAGGTTGTATGACTATGACTATGACTATGACTATGACTATGACTATGACTATGACTATGACTATGACAGCCAGCGAACTGTTAATATAGTTAATATATATGCATTTCTTCTGTGTACACGGAATGAAGGTATACTCGTAATCTATTCGCACGTGTCTTGACCGAGAAAATAGTCGATAGTTAGTCGCTTCGTCGGCGGGGGGACAGTAGCCACGTGCCTTCCAAAACGATGGTCCTTGGTGAATGAAGTGTTTAGTTAATCACCATACTACCAGCTATTGCAAAAGTTGGTCATCGAAAGATGATGATGATGTTTTCGTTTTCACGAACGCAGACAAAATGCACTAGGCACTTGCGTCGCGCTTTAATAATAGTAGCCACCTTGGTGGTCAATAGGGCCTTTGATGTCGAAAGCTTAATTTAAAATACTACGAGATACTAAAGAGATTGCTAACATTTAAAATACCATTTCGGCCTACACAGGACCGTGGTCACGGGCACATGTCGCTCTACATAAAATAATTATTAAGATTTGTAAAACCTGCACGTTTCATTAAGTGCTATTATATGCGATGCTACTGTATGCATATTTTCTAGTAACATTTTCTTTAGATTTAAACATCTAGCAGTTGAATGCTTAAAAAATTCAAATATAACTAAAAGTTTATCAGTATGCTTTATTACAATTTATAAGTTCTACTATTTTTACGCAATTACATTTTAGTATAATTAGAATGACATGCACGCGAATATTGCAATCGTGCCGTCCACAATGAACTTTAATTAGTATTTTTAAATATCCAAAGAGAATGGGACAGATTAAAATTTTTAGTATTGTAATTAACAATTCTAGTTACCAATTAGATTTTTCCAGTGGCAGATCCAAGGCGCTAATAAATTCACGAGCATACAAATGCCGCCCTGTTTACAGGGCGGCGTTTGAGTTTTGACTCAAATTGTGGTCATGCACCACAATTCAAGCGGATCAAAATTCAAAATTCAATATCGTTTATTCAGTCTAGGCTGTTACAAGCACTTGTGAATGTCGAAAAGCTACGCCATCGGTTCGCAAATCTACGGCGGGAGACCTTGTACTGAGAAGAACCGGCAAGAAACTCAGCAAGGGCTGTTTTTTTCTCCCTGTATTATACAGAGTCGTCAAATTGATCACTTTTGAGACCCGAGATCTATCACTATCTTCCATTTTTGATTTAATCTAAGGCATTGATAGACTTAAATATGTGTGGTCAAAATCTCTGTTTCTGGCCGCTGCAGTAATATACTATAGTATTTCAATACATGCAATTAATAAACAAATTGTCGTTTAATGTTGTTTTATTAAATTGTGATATTAATATATAGTGAAACAAAGATGCAGACTTACTTGCCGTTATATTAATTTTCTAGCAACTATTTGTATCAAAGAAACACTCAGGTTGTTATTACAATTTGTCGCAAATCATAATGGTTACATTTACAGAGATATTATTGCATTTGTCAACATTTAACTTGCAAGAATTCGATATAGTTACATAATCTTTTTTGTTTTAATCTAATAATCGCAGAACGCTAATAGACTTCATTCTGGAATGATGCTAAATTTGCACAAGTATTTTTATCCTTAGGAGCTCAATGAAAAGTTAAGCAACTTTCGCTATGGTCCGTAATTGGATGGGTGACCAAAAACTTGTTGTCTCGAGCTCCAACGTGCTTCAGAAGGCACGTTTATACGTTGGTCCGAGCTGCAGGCTGCAGTCTTTAGCACCCACTAATACGGGCTGGGCCCACATGATGGGTCACGGTTCAATCTCCCTATTCCATCCATAGGGATGGCCTGTACCCAAGCAGTGGGAAAATTAATAGGATGTGAAAATGCTTATCATACAAGAGAATGAAAAGGAGAGACTAGTTTCAAATCAAGGCTTTAGCTTGTTTAGAACCATATCAAAATTACGCCGTTAGCGGAATTGTCTGTTATGACATTTTTAAGAGATTTTTTTTTAATTTGAAAGTACATTACCATCTAAAAATATTTGCCCGCAAAATAAAACACAATTAACGTTTTCTAATTAGTTTTGTATTATGCTTAATCAATAACTGAATTTAGCAACGCCAGGAAGTAATAAAAGTAAGGGGCAAAATATTAAAACCATTATTACTCTTTCCCAAGAAGAAGTTGCTACTATACAAAAGGTAATTTCCCATGTATATTATAACATGATATATTTAGTTATAACTCATATAACATAAGGTACTTAACAGTGGATCAGTTTCATCTGTTTATCAAAATATAAACATCTCGTTTGCTCCTTTCACAATATTTGTTATCGAATTCCTCCGAAACGGCTTCATTGATTTTCGTGATCTTTATGTGTATTTAATAATATTTAGTAGGTCTGAGAATAGCCCTTAAATAATAGCTTGTGGGTTTTCCACCCAAACAAAATTTTATACAAGTGACGCTCAATCAAGTCCATTTTCTGTTTACATGAAAAATATTGCAATTCTCAAACTATTTCAGAAGATATGCGGTCTTCCCAGATGTTCATAGTGCTGTGTTTGGCGGTTGTCATGGTAACCGCAACACAGGATGGACGCCGCCGCCTACCAGACCCGACTACCACTGAGTCCGTTGTAGAAGTAAGCAGTAAGAAGTGTGAAGATACCGAAGACTTCTGCGGATCGGTTAAGAAGAATCCGGTGAAGCCTGGTGGTTTTTTCACAGGTTCTGATCATGGATGGTAATTGATAACAATAAAAGTTTTTTCTCAAACGTGCATGTAAATATAGTCATTATTTTCGAAAAAAGAACACGCGAAGTATTGAATTTACGGACAAAGAAAAATCAAATCGCAATGTTTTATTTTATTCTTTTCTTTTTGAGGAGCGTTTTTTGAATTTGGAACATTACAACGCTGCAGCAATGTTGTTACATTTCGGAGAGTGTGCGGGGGTACTACACAATTTGATTCCCCCTTACCCTTTCCACCACCGAAGACCAGGCGCGGCGAGGGCTTTCACCCTCATGTCCAAGTTCTTCCCTTTCGCACGAAGCGATTTGCTTCCGCTTTCATTCTGCGAACGGCTAGGGAGTGGAACTCCTTACCGAGGTCTGTTTTCCCGGACCAATATAATCTGGACATCTTCAAGGCCAGAGTGAACAGGCATCTTCTAGGCAGGCGTGTACCATCGTAGGCCTCATCACCGCTTTCCATCAGGCGACATTTTGGTCAAACGCCTTGCCTATTAAACATAAAAAAGGGCACGCCATGATGGAGGTGGACAGTGTTCACTCCACTATTGAGCAATACATAAAACCACTATTAAATACTATTGTCATTGCAATGATAAAAATTTAAAAACAAATAACTTGTTTGATTAAAAGTTATGTGTTTTGAATCTCAATCTCTTTTACATACTTATATTCTCTAATGTGATACAAAACGTGCAACCAAAACCTCTTATGTGTCACATCGAATTGTTTTTTATTTGTTTACTACAATTTCCTTATTTATTTAAAATGACAAGAGCAAAATAAAAATCATAGAACCCTCCAGTTATCACCTGTATTTTGACGTGACAACGTCTTAAATTAGGTTGCGGCTGGGAGTCACTTATGAAAAAGTGTAACGCTCGGTAACGTTACGATGAGTCTCTCGTGTTAAGTTTAAGTTTACATGTACAATGTTTTAGTAAACAAAATATATTTCTATAGTTAAAATTTGTGCAATTCTTATTTTCATTCAATTCCTTGTTCCTATTGTGCAATTTAATTATATTCATATCAATAAATATTCTACCGAGAAAAAGACGTTGTCACGTAAAATCTTCGCCCGTAAAACCGACTTTACAGGCAACCATTTTTTTTGTTATATTTAGTTTCCTTATATTTTTTTCAGTAGACAAACTGTCTATTGAATATCTCGCACTGAAGAATTTTACACATGGGAGGTCTTAAAGTCGCAACGACGATTTGACAAGTTTTAGAAAACGATCTCACGCTATTGACTAATGTTTTTGGAGTCTGTAAGAAATGGATATTCAACATTCTGTTGTGTATTTCATTAAAAATAACCAAATCAAAAACTCCATTTTAAAGTTGCGGCGAAAACGTTTCTCTGGACAATATGGCGTCTTACTTGTGTGTGACGCCACATGACTGTTATAAGCTTTAATAACAAACGATACAATGTAATGTCACTTTAACCGGAAGTTTACTTGCGTGTGACGTCATTTTAGGCCCGCCAATCCCAAGCGTTTTGGGTCACGTGACAATAGATAAGAAAACTATTATCTTTTTCGTGGGTTTTTAGTAAAATTATGAATATTTTTTCTGTAAAAATAGTAAAAACGCAATTTTCATTCTTAACACAGATGCTAACAATTGGCACTTTATTAATAGTGTCAAATACCCTATTGTTGTAATAAGTAAATGTCGTTTTTTGTTTTGAGAGCAACACTTATGTTTAATTACATTTACAAATCCCATTAAAAAAATAATAAAGAATATAAATATATACTAGTTAGGCAATCGTATACCAAGCGGAAATCTGGAAACGAGTGGGCGAGCAGCGGGAAGCGAGTCTGTAGCTCTGATAGTTTTTACGCTGGGCTATAAGCGAGTGCGTGACAACGGGCGATTACTCGTGCGGCTCGTTCACGGTGACAGTCCTGGGGGCCAATCGCCTAACGGAAATGCTTTGGAAAACGCTAACGCTTACGATTTTATTTTGTTATTTCTAGCCGCCTGAGTTATTCAAATGCCTCGCGCTCTTTCTTTTTCTTTTGCATTGGTAACAATATTAAAAAAAATGAGCGTGAGGTATTCGAAAACCTCAGGCGGCTAGAAATAACAATATAAAATCGTAAGCGTTAGCGTTTCCCAAAGCATTTCCGTTAGGCGATTGGCCCCGCGGAGCTCTATTTTTGAAGTTATACTTCTTTAGGCGCGTTATGAAAAAATGATGAGAGTGAAATTTTAAGATGCGCGCGCATCACTGTAACACAAAATTTTAGTATCGTCGAATGCGACATAAGTCACCTTCGACTTTCAAGTCGCATAATACTGATTTTCCGTATTTTTGAATCACTCGTCACCAGTGTTACCTGTTTGATACGAAATACGAAATTTTACTCATTTCACGCAGAAATAATAAAAACCGGTAATTACTACTACTCTTTGTCGTTTCATATAAAGCATGACAATGATAGATTATCGTCGTCTAATAGCACAAAAGAATTGACAATTATTCTATCATTCGCCTCCACCATACGCCATGCAGCGAGTGGTTTCACCCATTCGTTGCACTCGAGCGATTCAAAAATACGGAATTAATTAGGTCGAATGAAATTTAGTAGAAATCGAGCGTTCGACGTAAGACGAGTGATTCAAAAATAGAGCTCCTGTAACAGTACAGTACTGTAACAGTACAGGAGCTCTATTTTGGTTCGTGTTACTGTGCTAACAGCAGCACGAACCAATATCAAATTCAAACAGTTTGCGAGTGCGAAATGTCAATGTCAAATTCTGTACAGAAACCTGAACAGCCTTGTGGTTATGCTGTTCAAGTTGCTGTACAGAATTTCCGTTGTCGGACGTTACGAAAACTAAACATCAGTACGCATTTGACGCATATTTAGCTCGATTTCAACTATTCGAATTCGATAATGGTTTGTGCTAAGGATACAATATCCTTAGCACGAACCAATAACGAATTCGAATAGTTTGCGAGTGCGAAATGTTATTGTCAAATATGTACTGATTTTTAGTTCTCGTTATTAAAAGTCTTTAAGTGCACCCAAAGGTGGCGTTTTCAATAAGAAACATTAGCGGGCAGTAATGAGTGTTTAATCCTCTTTTTATGTACGCCGCAATTATCTTTGCCGCACACTTTTCGAATATTTAACATCTTACACTCTTATTCATAAAAAATAAAACCAGTTTTAACTATTGCACTGTTTTGTCACTTTCTCTCAAATTTTGACAGCGCTAAGAAAGAACGAGATAAAGCAGTGTTTTAGCTAAAACAGGTTTATTAAACTGTTTTCATTTTAATGAATAAGAGTGTTAGTGTTCAGCGCCAAAGAAATCGAACTATAGTCGCGGCACGCTATGTTGGCCGTTTTGACACATTGCAATAGTGACGAAAAAAGTAAATTTAGTATCGCAAAAAATATTTTTTAATCAAATACGAGTCACATCGGGATATTAAAATTTTTAAATTTTTACCAATACTGCAGGAAGTTGCTGATTATAAAGATTGAATGAAACGAAAAAATAAATGCTTACGCACACTCAGCGATCCTTTAAGTAGCGATCTTATTGATTTCAAGTTTTAACATTTTCAATTTCGAAAAACACAAACTCCGAGTTATGTGGCATATAAGTACACTATCGTTATATTTTTATTTGTATGATATAACATTTTTAATGATAATAACAATAACACAATAAAAATCATTTACTTATTTAAACCTTTAAAGATTCTGTTAAATGGCCGGCGTTTTTAAAGGTTTTTTTTATCATACTTCATTATTTTAAGCTCGTAAAAGTTTAAGGAAACATAATATACAGGGTGGCCGGGGAGATGACGTTCAAGCGTAAAATTTAGATACTTTATGATGAGGAGTATCCAAATCACCCCCATATATGTTCTACGATTTTGCGTAGTTTTCGAGTTATAATTTTTTTAATGATTTTTTTGTAATTTTCACCTAACGTCAGTTTTCGATTTTTTTCTCATTCTGTTGGACGTTTCTGGTTCAGTTTTTTTGTGAGAACTGACTAACATAGTCTAATCTAGCACCCTAAAACTTATGGTTTATCTAGGCATTGCAGAATTTACTTAGAATTTGTTCGAAAGTTCAAAATTACGATTTGAGCTCAGAACACACTTTCAAAGTATCAAAAAAAAATGTAAATGGTGGGATTTTGAGTTCAAAGTGCTTTTAGAAACTTCCTGAAACATTAGACTATAAAACAAGGCCAAATAAAGATAGGGTTAATGAGGGTTTATTTTCTGTAACTGACCTTCAAAGTAAATTAAGGCATTTTCAAGGAAAAGTCTGAGTCTGAGAGACAGTTATGATGGATTTGAGTAAAACACAGTTGTAAATGACCTAAATTCTACTACTACTTACTCGTCTTGTTCTGCCGTTTTTTCTCGACCACTATTTGCCTACTGATACCGCCGCTGCTTACTTGTTTGACCCCTGCTTGTTACTGGATTCCATAGTGCCTAACCATTTGGACTGTAGTTACTTGGAAGTGTTAGTGATGCCCTACACTCTGAGTGAATATGCAGAAATGCATTATTTCTACGGCGTTGCACAAGGCAACGGTCGTGAAGCAGCTAGACTCTACAGGGATCAACTTCAATGCTGAGGCGGAGCGCAACTTGATCATTACCCTGACTATCATGTGTTCATTAATACTCACAATACGTTAACAGCAGGCCGCATTCCTGGCCAACGTGGCGGTGAAGGCATTCAGAGGGTTGATCAGGAACGCAGGGAAATCGTACTGGAAGAAGTGCAACGCAATAGTAGTACAAGTACAGTATAGTAGCATTAGCTCGTAACCTTGACATACCAAGATCTTCAATACAAGATATTTTGCGTAAGGAATCATTTATTTAAATCATACCACATACAAAAAGTACAAGCGTTGCAGCCTTCAGATTATCAATTGAGAGTCGAGTTCTGTAGAACTATGTTGCAGAAAGAGGAAGAAGATCCCGGATACTTTAATAAAATCTTGTGGACCGACGAGTCAAGATTTGAGCGAACTGGGGTTTTCATTATCCACAATTTTCACATTTGGGCCGTTGAAAATCCACATGCCGCCAGACCATCATCATTATAACATCGTCTTAGCGTTGACATGTGGTCTGGTGTTTTGAATGGCGAATTAATAGGCGCATTTGAACTGTCATCGAGATTAGATGGCGACACATACAAAAGTTTTTTAGAAGACAATCT